TTTATGTATCTGATATCAATCCTACAGAAAAGTGCTGCAATAGTTTTAAAATCTTTTAAGATAGTGTACTAGACATTTCAGGTATAAGTATCCACCATTACTTGTAAATGCATGTCTACATAATATTTTCCATTCTATTTTTAAATATAAAAGTAAAATATACACTGATTAATGTAAGGTCTATAGTTACCCTGCTAAAATCACCATGTAGTCTGTTATTTGTAATATACCTTACTTTAACAATCCTTGTTTTCAAAACAACTATGAGATATATCATCTCACCCCAGTAGGAATAGCAAAAATTTAACAGAACAGCAAGCAACAAATGCTGGCGAGGTTGTGGAGAACTGGAACCCTTATTCACTATTGGTGGAAGTGAAAAATGGTGCAAGCACTGTGGAACACGATGTGGCACTTTCTCAAAACGTTGCAAATAAAGACACCATTTGACCCAGCAATTCAACTACTGGGAATATACAGTAAAGAGGCCATAACTGGCATCCAAGCAGATATATGCATACCCATGTTTATCGTGGCTTTGTTCACAATAGCAAGGAGTTGGAAACAACCCAAGTGCCCATCAACAAATGAATGGATAGAGAAGCTGTAGTATATTCAAACAATGGAATACTACACTGCATTGAAAAACAAGGAACTCATGCAATAGTATTCAAAATGGGTAACCATGGAGGACATTATGCTGAGTGAAATATCTCAGTCACAAAAGGACAAATACTACATGGTGCCACTGTTGTAGAATGGGGCTGGCATCAGGATTGGGATAAGACAGAGAATAACTGGATAAATTATGTATACTGCATTGAAACAGATGAGGGAGAGGGCAGTTTATAAGCTATATATGATAGGGTATTCTGGTTATCACGAGAGTCCAGAATTAAGGTTGCACAGTGGAGTGTACTCGGAGGGGGAGTGCGGGGGTATTGAATACCAATTAAAAAATTTTACTTTTCAGACAGGAGCCAACTGGGGAGGGGGGTGGGCAGGGAGAAAAGTGCAACAATGAATGAATGAAAATCCAAAATCTCTGTAAATGTTCATTAACATTAATAAAATAAAATTAAAAAAAAATCCTTGTTTTAAGTTATGATCTTTGAAGCTATAACCTTTGTTTTGAATACTTGTAGCATTGGGGAAATCTGCTGTCAAGGACCTCCTTAAACTGCTAAATAACAAATATATTCCTTTAAAGTGTAAGATGCAAATGCTCTAAACCATAGTACTTTCAATTGCTTTGTATGTATCTGGAATGATGAACAAGGAAGACCAAAGAAGAATGAAACACAAATTGTGGTGTTGGTAGAGTACTGAGTAGGTCATGAATTATCAAAAGAAAAAGAAAAAGTAACTGTCTTGGAGGAAATGCAATCAGGGTACTTCTTAGAAGCAAGGATGGTGAAATTTGTCTCACATACTTTGCACATAGTTTCAGGAGGGCCAATCCTTGGAAGAAGACATCTATCTGGGAAAGGTAGAGTGTAAGCAAAAGACAGGAAGACCCTTAACGAGAAGGACTGATGAAGTGACTTTAATAATGTACCTGAGCATGGCAGAAATTGTAAAACTGACGCAGGAGAGGGTAAGGCTCCAATCTATTGTTTACAGGGTCACTATGAGTCACAGGTGACTTGATGGCACCTAACAACATCAGATTACATTGTTAGCAAAAAATTCTAATAGTATGGTAAGTGGATTGTTTTGCTTTGGAGTTTTGTGTTGTTGCTTTTTTTTTATCATTTATAGTTGCTACCATCTAGTTGAGTTCAAAAAAGTCAAGGTTACAGATTACAAGTAGAAGATCTAACAGAAGATAAGATTCACAAGTCCTTCAAAAATTCATTTTAAAAACCTAGACATTTCATGACAAATAATATAATAGGTTTTTCCATTTCAGGCTTTGGAGAAGAGGCATCAAAATTACTTCATATCCCTCTCATTGCCTGCCTCATGGCATTCTAATGTTCTGAAACTGCAATGGAAAGCAACACCAGAGGGGAAGCTGGCCTCTTCTAGCTCTTTTCCTATAAACTCTCCCAATGGCATGCAGTTGGAATCTACCAGCTGCCCCAAGGGAGAAGGATGGGTGATTTGCCACCTCTGAAAATCTGCTGGAGGTCCAGCTATGGGTTGATTCTGACTTGACAGCACACAACAACAACAACAGTAGTAAGGTATATGATTAACTATCTAAGTGAAGCCTGGTAAGAGCTAGTCTTAGATCCCAGAGAGAGATAGGTAATGTTCTTCCTTTGATGCTGCCAAAGCTGATGTCATGACGCTTCTTTCTTCCTCCATTTGCTTTGATGGGTAGGTCTGAATAATAGTTGTAATAACAGATTTCTCAGGCACATATGGACTATCACTTATAGCCTTATACTTCAGGATAGATCTTGAAATGGTCTTTTGAACTACTAATATAACCATTCTTTCTCCTTTTTTCATTCCTTGTAGGGTAGATAACTTGATTGTATGATTCAAAATGGTCAAGCCAGTTCATCTCAGCTCACTAATGCCTAGGAAGTCCATCTTGACACATTCTTTTTCATTTTTTTTTACAACTTTACAGGTTGTTGTGTTGTTATGTGCCATTGAGTCAAAAACGACCCATAGCAACCCTATGTACAGCAGCTCTGAAGCCTCCCCTGTCCTGACCCAGTCTCATTGACTCCTACATACAAATTTACATTTTCCCAGTTACTGTTTCAGTCCACCTCATCTCGGGTTTTCCTCTCCTGCGCTGTCCCTCCACCCTCCCAAGCATGACATCCTACAACTTCACATACACCCATTCAGTAAGTCTGGGTCACCTTATGGCATACTGAGGGGCTATGCAGGGACAGAGAAATCTTTTTCAACTCATAAAGAGACAAAGTGTCTTTTCTGGGAGGATTGGTACTAGATGCAATATTACTTCTCTCACGGTATGCCAATTACAGTGTACATGAGCAAGTTTATGAAAATGATCCTGGATAAATGTTAACTGTTTACTGAGAGATCTGGTATAGAGAGAGTTACATTGCTAACCCACATGCCATTCCTCTGTTGGTTCAAAATCTTCAGCAGCTCTACGGGAGAAGATGGGCAATGTCCTTCCACGTGATTTACAGCCTCAGAAACCCAGTGGGGCTGGGCTGTGAGTCAGTTCCAATTTCATAGCAACGACAGAGATTTCTCTAAACAAACTGACTTTGGTTTGTTTGGTTGTTGGTTTTTTGTTTGTTGGTTTGTTTGTTTTTTTCATTCTTGGTTCACTTCAAATCATGAGACATCTTTAAAGAGACACAAGTATCAACGATGACATGAAACGCAAATTTCTTTGACACTGTCAATGGTAGAGTGTATTCACTGAACAGAAGCAGGGCACATCATATTTTGCCTAGGACTAAGTCTTTGTTTCAGGAAATGTCTTCATTTTATTACAACCCTAGAGGAACTCTCATGGCCCCTATGACAGTCCTCACTCAGTGTTTCCTTTAATAACAACCCATCAAGAGGGCAAACAGATGCCAGACAGAAGACATTCTTTACCCTCTGGGAATTGAGCTGAGTCAGACCACTGAATCCTAATAAGTACCAGGGACTGTCTTTTCCATGTATCTCCTGGGTCCCAAAGATAGTCAGGAGAACCCAGAGGAAAGCAAGGCCAAAAAATGGAGACAGACACCTGGAATAAAGCTCCTGAATCAAACTGTGCCTGAAGGTATTCAATCCTAGCAGTTTTCGGGTATGAGAGTCAATCCATTTTCTTGCCTGCTAGAGGAAAATTTAGATTATGTTTCTTCTTCTTATAAACAAAGCATCTTCATAGATAGTTAACAAAGGAAAGGATTTCAGTTTAATTTCATTTGTCCATTCACATCTCATCGTTACCACACTTAGCAAAGGATTTTCATTCAAGTGTAAGGACAAATTTTCCCACAGGATATTTGAGAATTACATATGTGTAAGGATTCTACATCATTTTAACTTGACTTACAAATCTGTTTCATCTGAGAGGAAAGAAATAAAGAGCTATGATCTTATTCTCTTATGTCTCTATGAACAGTATTTATCTACAAACCTCTGATACAATCAGTTTTTACAGATGCCAAAAATTCTATCATTATTAATAATCCATATGGATCTACTAATTGAGAAATCTGGGTTGACATCCAACACTTTCTCTTTTAAAAAAGATGAGTAGCAATCTCCTTCTGTCAAGAGTTGTCGTTGGGTGCTATCAAGTTGGAACCTACCTACAATGACCCTTCAGTGGCTTTCACAGGCAGTACATCACACTGAAGGGGACTGCCCGTCATGTTTCACAGAGCAGCTGGTGAATTCAAACGCCATGCCTTAGGGATTGCAGTGCAACTTCTTACCAGTAAGTCTTTAGCACTCAGTTAATACTTACAGCTTCAGAAATCCCATGGAGGGTTATTATGAATTAGGTTTTTCTAAATAGTCATGGGTTTCAGTATATGAAACATCATATGTAATAGGTTTAGTCTAAATTCTAATAAACATGATAATAAACGAGTTTAAGTGCTCTGGTGGCTCAGTGGTAAGGAGCTACATTGCAACCCCCAAATTCAAAACTACCAGTTGATCTGTGGAAGAAAGATGGGCAGCCTCCTCTCTTGAATAATTCAGACTTTGAAAACCCCCTGGAGGGTCACAGATGAGCTGATTCTAACTTGAAGACATGTAACAATAACAATAACAAAAGGAGTTTAAGTCAATTTTTATACAATATCTTATGCAATAGTAGTTAAAAAAATCAGCCATGATATATGCTTTGAGATAGAAACAGAAATAAAGTGGCCGCAACAAAGAAATAAAAAATACTATCCACCTAGTAGTTTCAAAGGTATGATTAATAAAAAGACTATTGTAGGAAAACAGCTAGGATCATCTCCAATTGCAGCAATTCAATCAATAGTAGTTCCTCTCACGACAGGTTTCAAAGATGAACCCCACCAGAGAAAGCCATGCGTACTCACAAATTATAAAGCATGTCAGCCATGTTGCTGCGGTAGTACAAAGCATTTCTATAGGCGCCTTCAGCTTCAGAAATTTTGCTCTGACTCTTCAGAACATTTCCAAGGTTACCCCACGCTGCCAAGAAGAGAAAGAAGTATTCAGATGGAGCCTCAATCCAATTAAATGTGACATAATATCAGGCCATCAGGAAGTATCACATGGAGCAAAAACTTTCATAAAACATTTTTACAAAGAAAAATTTATTTCTTTTGCACTCTAACATTTCATCGAGCGAGGAGATTAAATACAATCGAAGCCTAAATATATTTCAAGTAATTAATGATGTCTCAAAGCTGATATACATATACAGTTCATCACAGGGCCAAGAACAATGTTATATTACGATCACCTACAAAGACTTCACACTCTTTCAAATTTCAGTAGGAGTCTTCCTGGTGTGAAATTGCTGTATACTTGTTGGATCTGAAACTGTAATAAATCATGTTCAAATAAACCAAGATTTCATTTAAATATGAAAAGGAAAACTACATGAGAAATAAAACAGGAGAATTAAGGATGAAATGTGACATAATTAAACAAGAACAAAGCTATATAGAGTCTTAAGAGACATCAGAACATCTTAGTAAAACATTATGCTTCTTAAAATAATTCTGTATCATTTACTCAGAAATAACAGTCTTGATATAAAAAATGGATTCATTAATTTTTAGGGAAATCTCTATACTTTCATGAGATAGATACATTTTCTATGAGTCCTTAATTTTTCTGCCACAGTGATCTTATTTATTAACATTAGCAAGAACAAACGGCAGAGAAATACATATAGACTTCATAACGTAGCTTTCAAAAGGAACTGTTCAAAAGGACTGCCTCATCATTTTTTTTTCCTTTTGACAAAGTTCTACTTTGTTTATTGCATTCAGAACTCAAAGCCAAACTTGGGGAAGGACACGATGCTAGGAAGGGTTGAGGGTCCGCCAGAGGAGAGTAAGACCCTCAACCAGGTGGACTGACATAGTGACTGCTACAATGGGCTCTGGTGTGTCAGGAAGTGTGAGACTGGCTAAGGATAGAAAAGGATTCAGATCTTTTGTTCATAGGGTTGCTAGGAGTCATGCTCAACTCGACAGCACCTAACAACAGTGGGACTTCTGTTGGAGCAGGAGTGAAGAAAGGTGTGTGTGTGTGTGTGTGTGTGTGTGTGTGTGTGTATATATATATATATTAAAATAACTTAAAATAATGACAATTGCTACAGAAAAAGTAAAACAGAAAGATGAGATTTAGGTGAAGTTAATTTAGATAGGAATAAACTAGAGAAAAGGAAAACATTTTATAACAGAAAAAAGAGTTAAGTCATACAAAGAGTGATTCTTCGAAATAAGAAAGTACTTGGAATAAGAACAAACAACTCATTTGAAGAACATTTTTTATATTCTTTGAGGGGCGAAAATGTAATCAAAGTGAGTAGCGAGAAAAATGATAGGTAGGCCATGATGAAGTTATAGAAACATGTAACACAATCATGTAGAGTTTGGTGAGACACGTCAAGTCTAGTGGCTACTCCATAAACAACTGACGATGGGGAGGATCTTCACTGTGTAAGTTTTATAATCTGATAAGCCTTTGTAAAAATGATCACTCTGCTCTAGGTTCTTCCATGCTTCACATGAAATAATTTTAATTAATGTTCTAGAACAATGTTTGTTTATGCATGATTAAATTGTCATATTATTCATAAATTTTCACTCTAAATTATTTAAAAGTTAAAAAGCCCCCAAAGTAAATGGTAAAAAAGCATTAAAAAATGATCACTTCATCTCCTCTCATATGAAATTTGTTGCATTGAGGGAAGACAGAGAAGGAAGGGAGGAATGATGTAGACTGCACTGAAACGGATGGGGGAGAGGACTGTTTGAAAGGGATATATGATTGGGTATTATTGTCATGACAGGAGTCCAGAATGAAGGCTGCATAGTGGAGTGGACTTGGGGGGGAAGGACTGAGTAACAATGAAAGAGTTTTTCTTTTACTTTTCAAGGAGGAAAGTGATCTGGGGGAAGGAGGTGGGCAGGGAGAAACATGCAACAATGAATGATGTAAGTCTCTGTAAACTTTCATTAAAATTAATTAAAAAAAAGGAATACCAAACATGATGTCCCTCTCCAAGGACTTGTCTCTCCTTACAACATGTCCAAAGTATGTCAGACGAAGCCCCAGAATCCTTGCCTCCAAGGAGTAGCCTGGTTTAACCCTCAAATCCTCACTAATGGACCAACAGGAAACTTCACGATAGAGAAAAGATTGAGAGTGGCGGAAATTTAGCTTCCAAAGAGTACAGGGGTGGCTTCTGGCAGGGTAGGCGGGGATGGGGGTGGGGGGGTGGAGCACCTGGTTAGTACAAAAGACTCCGGAGTTCAAAAGCTTTTTATTTCAGAACATCAGAGGTTAGTACCTAGGGGGTCAGTCATTAAGAAATAGGTCCTCTTACTTTCAAATTCCGGAATATTCAACCTGAATCCTTCTGATCATATGGAGATTTTTGAAAGTATTTCTTTGAGTTTATTATGTTTAATTTGTTTTATTTGTTTGCTTTTGTATAAAAGATGCTCATCTAGATAGATAGGTGATAACATAATTATGATAAAAACAAAAGGGGGAAATATGGGAAGCCAATACTAAATATTTGTAACAAACTGAATGCTATTAAAAAAATTTTTTTAAAAAGAATTTCTACCAAAAAAAGAAGATATTGCAATAAATGACTTCATTCTTTAAAAAAAAATAGGTCCTCTTGCTCAAAGCATAGACATGTTTAACTGCATTTATGACTATACAAATGATACAATGTAAGTGTCTCACAGAAAAGACATTCAAACAATACTGAAGTGTATCAAGTAAAAATAGACATTCCCTCTCTCTCACCCCTTTCCTAATTAAGAGTACTTTGTTAATGTTCTACAAAAAGCATACTAATGCATGATTTGTTTTACAAGAATTCAATCAGTACTTGGCTTTTTGCTCTCAATATCATGTCTTTGTATTGTTACAACTTTATTAAAAACTTCATATGGAAAAAAATAAATACAAAAAAAAAAAAAAAGGAATAAAAGTAGTAAGAAGGAGACTAGTGAGGAAGTAACTACAATTATCTAAACAAGACAAGAAGGGTTAACACCAGAATGGGCTGCAAAGGAGATTGTTGTGTTTTAGTTTGTTTGTTTGGTTTTTTTGTGTACAGTTGAATCAGAACTGACTGGCACAGGAGGAGACTGCCACTTTTTCTCCAGCAGAGCATCTGGTGGATTCAAATGCACGCCTTTGGGATTGCAGTGAAGCTTCTTGCCCCTAGGACACCAGAGCTTCCTGAGATTATTGCTTTGAAGGGAGAAAGCAACTTAGAAATTAAAAATCAAAGACAAGGTGAACTATAACAAAGTCAAGATATAACAATTGAGTTTCTTGTTTCCCAGTGCAAGTGAAAATGTCAAAAAGTTGTTTTTGTTTATTTTTCTTAATGTCATGTATTTTAATAATTAAACAACTGTCCTAGAGGCCAGAGTAAAGAGAAAATATTCTCAATATGAGCATATATTCTTTTAAACAATTTTCCTTTTGGAGGAGGAAGAACACAGGGGCTCGTCTTGTGTTCTCCATCAAGTGGAGAGCAAGCTTGATGTTTGGATTGGATCTCCTGATCTGACACTTAAGTGTCTGCCATTTTATCCTTTGTTGTTCATAAACAATCTTCAGAAAATTACAGTGAGATAGATACAAAATGAGACAAATAAAACATATTTCGTATTTTTGAGTAAATGCAGATGAAAATTTGGTCCTGCACAGCTCACAAAGTTAGAATACAAATGAAAAGATACCTCAGGTTTCCCTCAATGTAGTGTTCTCTTGCACATGAATATCTTACAATTCTCTTACAATGAATATCTCACTACTGTTGGAACACAGAATAGCTAACGTGGGGAAAAAGTGATGAGATTAAAGAGCTGGACTGAGATTCCATATTGTGACTCAAGAAGACAAAGTATTATAGTGAGATCTGCAAAGGTTTAGAGTTAGAAAGTCAAAAGAGAAACACATGACTAACATTTCACAAGCTGACAGGTCAGGCAAAAAAAAAGTCAAACTTCACAAAAATGAAGGATTAGCTCTGGTGGCTTAAGTGGCAAGGAATTGCGCTGCCAATAAAATGGTATGCAGTTCAAATCCACCAGCTGCTCTGCAGTAGCAAGATGTATAATCTCCTGTGAGACTGACTGCCTCTGCAAACCTGCTGAAGGGTCTGCTATAGGTCAGTTCTCATTTTACAGTACCTAACAACAGCATATGAGGAAAATATTGAACAATGCCGATAACATCAAAGGAAGATAGAAGGAGTATCATTTCAAGATACAGCATGATACTAAGAATTAAGATGTTGAAAGAAGAAGCCCAAGCTGGACTGGAAGGAATTGGGGGGGGGGGCGGTAGAAGCCACTAATATATGATAGACTATCAATTGACATTTTTGAACAGATTAATATAACAATATTGGAAGTGTTCACTTTCTACAAGGTGTTTAGGAGAAAGCTAGCTATCCAAACAACTAGAATAAATCCAAATTTTGGCTGTTGCAAAGAAAAATAGTGCAACTTAATACAGAAATTATTGAACAATATCATTAACATCATACACAAGTAATATTTTACTGAAGATAGTTTTACAAATTGTTGTGTTATAGGGGGAAAAACCCAGAAGTGACTGGAATAGAGGTTTCTCTGAATTGGCTATAAGCCATATAATTTCAGAACTAGCTCAATATTCAACAGCTATTTTGCTGGGAAGCAAGCATGGCTGTTTACAGTAAAACAGTTGGAGTAGTACAGTTGACAGAGAGTTACCAGATATTGAATCTATTCAGAAGATGGTGTCAAACAAGAAATACTATTACATATCCCCAATGAACATTAGACAAAAGGAGGAGATGCGTTTCTAAAAGGCATTTATCCGGGTAGATCAAAACCAATGGGTAATACTGCAAACAAATGGAAATTCAAAACCCGTACTCACACAGAGCCTATACCTAGGTGAGTAAGCATTTATTCAAACTGAATGAGGGG